AAGATTATGCTGTCAGTGTGGTGGAATCACAAAGGAATTTTGTATTTTGAACTCATGCCGCAGAACCAAACGATAAATTCAAATGTGTATGTTGAACAACTGGAAAAACTGAAGGATGCAATTGAAGATAAGCGGCCGGCATTATCAAATCGGCGGAAGGGTGTTGTTTTCCATCATGATAACGCAAGGCCCCCGCACACATCTTTGGTTACTCGGCAAAAATGATTGGAACTGGGTTGGGATGTTTTGTCACACCCACCATATATCCCTGACCTTGCGCCTTCGGATTACCATTTGTTTCGTTCCATGCAAAACTCTTTAAATGGTAAAATTTGTAACAAGGCGGATGATGTCGGATCACACCTAATTCAGTTTTTTAATAGCAAAGACCAGACATTTTGCGAACGGGGAATTTTTACTCTGCCAGAAGGATGGAAAAAGGTCATCGACAAGAACGGCCAATATCTAATTGAATAAAGTTATATTTTTAAACAAAAATTCCGAATTTGCCTTCTTATTTGAAATCGGCAATGACTTAGTTGCCCACCCAATAGTTTGTCCAAATACGCCACAATATTCATAGCTATCAAAGTACTTTATACAAGGTAACTATCTGCATTATGCAAAAAGTAGTTCGATTCGAATTTTGTCTTGATCCAAATCTATAATGCCAAGTCATGCGCCCTTGCGTGGATACGTAACTAAATCCAGTTAGCACAAAACCTTTGCACAAAAGGCAAAACCTGACCAAAGCCTTTTTTCATTGACTGTATTTGACAAAATTACATTGGGTAATATTAAATTTGATAGCCCGTATGGGAAAATTGGTAATTTGCTCGGTATTACTGGTGTTTAAATTTTACTACTTTTAAAGTGCCATTTGTTTAATCAAATTTGAATAGCACATTGAACAACATTTCATTCAATGAGAGCTATTTATTTTATTTGATGAAAACTAAAATAGATAGAGGTGTGAGAAATTTGAGAAAGTTTCAACTTTGTGCTTGAAAGATGCACGCATTACGTGATAGGGTCAATTTAATTTTGAAATCTATTTTTGCCTCCATTGTGAGCAATGTTGAGCTGAAGAACCTGATTGAGTTATAAGACGACAAAACACTCTATCAGTAGTTATTAAGCTAAGCAAAGTCTTTACAGTTAGCAACTTTCCATATTTCTAAACGTAAATGACTTAAGGTGTGCTTGGTAGTATTTTTGCCTTAAATTTAAAGGCTTATCGGCAACGAATACTTATAAGCCACGTACCTAAATGCGCCTCTTTCGATTGCGAATGAGCAACAATGAAGTCAAAAATTAATCAATCTTTTTGAAGTTTACTTTCCCCATCCAATCTGCAATTCATAGTTAATTTGCGTCATTTCAGACATCCAATAGGATCGTGCAGAGTACTCTACTAGCAAGTACTTCTTGTGTGGAACATGAGATCTGAACAAGATTAAGAAAGTTACCTGTGACGACGCATGATCTGACACATGTATTCATCTCAAACCTAAGTAATGAATAAAGAGATGTAGGTAATTTTAAAACCCCCAGATATCATAACTCAAAGCATCAAATCTTTCCCTACTCCATTTATAAATTTACTACAACTACTTCCTTTCCTGGTTAAGTGGAGTTCATTGGTTCAGTTGCCCAGCAGTCACTTCAGTTTGTGATCTACAAGTCTGCACATACTGTGCAAAAGCCTTTTTTTGCCTCTCAATTATTCTTCCTTAATTGATAAAATATTTGTTGGTACAGTGTATAATTAAACTAATTAATTAATTGCGTAACTAATTTTTAACCCGAAATGATCATTCAAAGAGGTGATCGCACAGTTGTAAACTCGTATCCCGTGATTGACAAGCTTATAAGTTCAAACTCCACTTAAAGGTCATCGTTGAGAAAAGCTTTGAAATGTGGTGATCAACTGACACCTCCTTATTTGTCCAATTTACTGCGAAATTGCAAAGTGATTCCATTGGCAAAGGTCTGTTTGACAATGATTAGACGACTTTGATATTTATTCCAACTTGCTTTTTAGTTGTATGCATTGATTACTAGAGCCATAGAGACAGGCTTTGTTATCTAAAATATCAAATTTATTTTGATTTAAAATAAGTATTACAAATAGTGCTTTAAAGATGCACGCATTACGTGATAGGGACAGTTTAAGTTTGAAATCAATTTGAAAGACTATTGCTCTAATTTACCAGATTACAGATACTTTTTCAGAGTCTTTTGTTTATATTCTCACTAGAGTGCTCTAATTTGATTGAGAGCGTATATCTATGTCAGAATATTTTAATAGACAGTTGTTTTGATTTGACAAGTCTATTGCAATTTGATATTTCTGAAAAATGGTTAAGTCATGTGACGCGTGTTTCTTGTGAGTGTTCTAAGTGCTTATTTGAAATGAAACAAAACGAAATGTTGAAAAAGCTCTCTAACATTAATTTGTGGGGTCACGAAATCTATCAAATTCAGCTTCCGATTCTGTTCTATCTTCAATAATGATAAAAGATGACTTATTCCCTTTAAGACATAGAACGCCATTCAGGAGGAACATTAACAGGTCTTGAATAATCATTCAACGTCGAATTCGATATTCTGGACCAATTCAAATCACTATGTAACACAGTTATCTTTTAAATATAATTCTTTTGAATATGGCAATGTAAAAATCTACATATTATCAAATTCTAATTAAAAGAAAATGGCAAAAAATTAGGAACAAACTAGTAAAATCATGATCCAATTATTTCATCTCGGTCTGATTATTTTCATGACAATTGCATTACATTAGAAAAGCTCTAACCTGCACATCAAAACATACACATCTACGCCATAAAGTGGTGAATTTTCATCATGAAAGCATGGGTACAGTGTTTGGTCCAAATAAAAAATGGGATAGCAATCACGCAAAATGTTTAGTAAATTATTAGAAACACCGTAAAATCTCACCAGCAAAAAGAGAACAAAGAAATAAATCATGAACGAATTTTTAAAAAACCTTACTGAGCGGCTTTCAAGAAAATGAAAAAACTCTTTGGCTCGGTTCAGTATTTGCTGGAACATCGATTAGTGGATTTCCACGACCTGGTCCTTGCATTTCATAGGTCAAGATGAGCATGGATGACCGCTGCATTTTGTGAGAATGTGACGCGTGACATTTTTCCCACACTGGAAAGTGGGCGATACCGGGACCACCACTAGCTGTTATCTTAACTCTCACGGTGTAACTAATTAGCTGGATTTGATTATAGTTGATGTCAATGTTGAAAATAGTTTGACTATTTCTCGTTTTTTCTTATTTTAAATATCAATCCAGGGACTGTTTATTATTTATATTCGAATACAATTCTCTTTACTCTAAATCAGCATTCAAACTGCATAACTAAAAACTCATAACTGGATAACTTACTTAATAGTTTGCCGATTATTAATGCTCTCATTATTAAAATAAATAAAATAATAAATGCAAATGAGCAATGTTTAAATCACCCGCCTTATTTATTTCATTTTATGCCTTCAAACAGTTAATATTAAATGAAATGCTGACAATCATTAGAACTTCAGATATTTTGGCCAAAATAGAAAGTGACTTGTTGGCAATTTGGCAATATTTTCGTTAGATTTTGGCACTACAATGTCTTCCTTTTAATGCACATTTATTCAAATGGACGAGAGCATGTACCCACTAAGCGGTAAATCCTTAACAGGTGGTAAGATACACACAAACCCACTTGAGCATAGCATGGCTACTATTGTAACTCGCACAAATTTACTTCGCTATACAATGGGGTGTGCGATAGACTTACCTCCACGTGGTGCGCCCTGGGCAA